GTAACACTTTGATAGGAAGAGCAACTCTGAATGCCTGTGCAGAAGTCTCAGTCCTGAGCAGAGATGAGGACAGAAACTACCTCCCCACAGGCTCTTTAACATCTGGATAAGAGGTGTCTGATGGAATTGGGTGGGATGGTGGACATGTTCTATGCTCCATAACCAGATTAGTACCCACTGGCAGTGACAGCACTTGAATGTGGCTTATACCATTGAGGAACTGCTTAGAAGTAAAGTTAGAATGACCTAAATATATTTACTTATTTTCAGACAGGGTCTCACTCTGCAGTCTTTACTGATGTGGAACTTGTTACGTTGACCAGGTTGGCCTCACACTCAAAGCTGCACCTTAAAGGCATGTATTGCTACACATGTATTAGAATTCTTAAACTGAATTTTATATCACTGTGCAAATTAAATTATTTTCATGTAAACTGAGTTCCACTAATTTCAGTCTTCTGTAGAGATAGCTACATATGGTCAGTGACCACCCTACTGGACATCTTAACATCTGAAAGACGGTCCTCTGTTTGAAGGAAGCCACAGACAGTAAACTGTGTAGTCTCTGAGACTCTCACCTCTAGAGGGGTCTTGGTTACACTTGATATGGGGAATGGACCGAAGACAGCAGCACTGTTTGTTGAGTACCCTTTTCTGCTCAATACAATGACCACCTTAAACTGCCTATTCCCTGCAAGGCAGGTAGGTAACTTTATGGCCCCTGTTTCTGGTGCTGGTAGGAGGCAGCCATTGGGAATTGAGAAAGGAAACCTGAACCTCACATTGTAGCCCCCAACAGTGGTTGGTGTCTTTGATCTACCCCCTGACTTCTGGGAACCTAGCCCTTCCCAGTCACCCTTTCGGCTCAGAGCTTTGGAGCCCTGAGGGACAGCTTCGACTCACTTGTTTAAGCAGTTTTCATAGTTGAAGGTGGCCTTGAAGCCATAGATGGAGAAGGTGACAATGCTGGAAAATATGGCTGTAGTACTATTGATGACAGACACGATGATAGCATGCTTCTGGCAGTCGTTGGAGGGTTCATTGTAGCTGGCAAAAGCGATCAGGCCGCCACATCCTAAGCCCAGTGAGAAGAAGATCTGTGTGGCTGCATTGATCCAGGCCTTGGGGTTGGCTAGCTGCTCAATCTGGAAGGCCAGTAGGGATAAGATTGAGGAGTTTTGCCCCCCAATCCACAGCTCCCTCTCCCAGGACAAGTAGGCTCAGATAGGGGAAAGAACTTACCCCCGAACCTCTCCACCTCCGCAGCTGTCCAGACCTGGCCTGTGTCTAGTAAATTTCTTGGAAGTAAGCCACATCACTAAATCTCAGGTAAATCTCTGATTTAAAAGATACTAGGTATTCCCCAGATGCCTCATTCTCTTTAATAGAGATTATCAGCCCAAAACAACCAGACAGATTGCCCTTATGCTAGCCCAGCTGCTATGTACATTCCGAGGAAGCTGCACTGCCTCCAAGCCACTTGCAGCTAAAGCATGTTGCTCATTCAGAACATGTTTAAGCTTTGACTGTTTCAGACAGCTTCCAATGGACAGTTTTCCATCATAACCCTGGCTGGATTCTAAGAGCCATTTTTAGAGAAAATGCCAGAGAGTAAACACTTTCCTTACTGCCCAAGAAGGCCTCTTGGGGCTGGAGAGATAGCTGAGCAGTTAAGAGCACTGGGTCTCTTCCAGAGGACCTGGGTTAAATTCCAAGCACCCACATTGCAGTTCATAACTGTTGGGGTAACCTCAGTTCACATTGTGTGACAGTGTATCCCTGTATTTTCAGTTGCTGCTTACTGTACTGACAGAGAGCTAAATGCTGGTGGGATCTTAGTACTGTCATTTCTATGGCCCATTACAAGCTTGACTTTTGTAAAGGTTTGTGCTTCCTTACCTGCCTAAAGGCAGTCTTAGAAATGTAGCAAGTATTGTCCTGCTGCTGATTGGTTATAATAAAGATCTGGCAGCCAATAGCTGAGGCAGGAAGTATGAGGGTGGAACTTCCAGGCAGAGAGAGAGAGAGAGTGATCTGAGAGGCAAGCTGAAGTAGGAAAATGGGAAGCAGACACAGAGGGGAACAGACATGGACCAGAGTGGAGTGGGAGGTAGAGAGCTAGTCATGTGGTAGGTTGTAGGCCAAAACAGTCCTGTTAAACAGTAGCTGGAAAACTGCCCGGCAAAAGGCCTAAGCTTTAAACTACATTAGAATTCTCTGTGTTGTTATTTAAACTTGTGGCAGTCTGCAAAAAAGTTGCACAAGACATAACTATCTGTAACTCCAGTTCCAGGGGATCCTACATTCTCACACAGACACACATGCAGGCAAAACATCAATGTACATATAATAAAAATTAATCATTAAGAAATATACTCCTTTGCACAGTAACTGTTGCGATTGACGCAGACACACTTTCTCTGGCTATATAAGCAGGTACTTGGCACAGTTTTTGAGTTAGCCATGTTACTCTCATGCAGCATTAGACCCCATAAAAGTCTTCTCCTGTATGAAGTTTTCTTGCCTATTGTTGTATAGCTATTTCCTCCCAATTGAAACATCTCCCCCTAGAGAGTGGCTCTTTAAGATTCAGGAGGAAAATGAAGCTGACAAGGTCTCAAGAGGCTCTTGAAACTTGGCAGATTCACAAGGCCACTCCAAGATTATTAAAGTGTTCCCATTTTAACTGCTGGAGAGAAGAGACTAGTTGTGTAGAATGCTCTGGGAATGTGGCTTTTATGAGTCACTGCCTATGCCGGGATGGGCTTTTCTGTGATACAGCTGCCTTTGAGTCACCCGTGCTCCTGTAAATAGCCTTAATAAATGCATTGGTTCACGAAGTTAGCTATGGACAGAATCGTTTCTTTGGTGTGTTGTGGGTGCCATATCTAGGATACAGCATTTGTTCACTCTTTGCATTAAAGGTCATACAACATCAGCTTTTCACCTCCATCATTATTAGAGTGGGATGGAGGGGGAACAGGAGGAAGTGATTGGGGAAGTGACGGCAGAGTCAGACGGACAAAGGACAACGACACCACCGTCACCACCTTTAAAGCAGCAGCAGTAACAAGGAAGCTCAAGCATTCTAAAGAGAAGAGTAGGAGTAGGGATACCAGGTCTCAAAGACAACAAAGGCTGAGAAGAGTTGAAGACTACAAATTGCCTTTGCTGCTAGATAAATCCCAGAAACACACAAAGCTAAGAGCTAAGGGTTTAAGGTGCCCCAGGCCTGAGAGCTGCCATACTAAGGGAGTCCATAGAAAGATTGTTACGGACATTTGTCTCCAGGCACAAAATCTGCTAAATAAATAATATGACCTATTTCCATTGAAGAACACTGGCCTGGAGGTAGGTAAAGGCAGGGATTGTTACGGTCTGGAGGGAGAGGGTCTAAGGAAGCATGGGGACAGAGAAAGGACACGACTGGAGTGGCATCTATGATCATCAGCCTAGTCAAGCATCTAGACAGGACTTTGGGTGAGACTTGGACCAGATAGGGCACAAGAGAGGAACAGTCAGTGGGGTAGTGAAAGTGTAGGAAGGACTCGACAGGGAAACTCATGCTCCACAGTGCATGGGGTTCAGAATGACTTGTCAGAGGAGGTGGTCTAGCCCCATCAATCCACAGCCCTTGGTCCAGCCTTGGGTTCACAACATCCACCTTGGTTATAGCTCTTCTTCTCCATACCACGATTTTTCCCCAGGCATACCAAAAGGGACCAGATGAGTAGCAGCACCCTTAGGACTTCTTTCCTGCAGCCCATACCTTGGGTGTGAACATGTATGCCAGGCCATTGGTGGCTCCGTGGAGTGTGAGGCCCCGCACCAGGTAGATGATGAGCACGAAGTAAGGCATTGATGCGGTGAAATAGACCACCTGTGGGAACCCAGGAGCAAAGTCAGCCTCAGGAGGGCGGAAATAGCTGTGCCACAGGAGGCAAAATAGTTCACTTGCCGTTATCAATATACATCACTGAAATGAAGATAACTGTTTTCACAGAATGTTTAGTTAACAATATGTGAAATTAAATCAGTAATATAAAGCCTGTAAGCTCTTAAAAATTAATTAGAGATTAAAACAAACAGCACAGCTAACTTGGAAATAGGGCCAAACGCCTGTTTATATCACTAGGAATCTGCAGGGACCATGGCACAGTCTGTGAATCAAATGATTTAGGCGTTTGCCCACAGCTGGCAACAACTGTACAAAAATTATTTTACAGAGTCTGAAAGTTTTCAGAATAAAAATTGAGTCACCTTTATTACATATGACATAAAAGTAAATAAAGCCATGAGTCCATGAAGAAGAGTTCTTATGTATGATGGCTTGATGGTCATTGTCACAAAAGACAACAGAAACAAAAAGGACCCCGAAATGTGTCACATAGCTCTGCCTAGCAACTAGGATCAGTCTGTGATTAAGGTGTCCCTTGCTGTCAATCCTTATGCTCAAGGATTTTAAGTATCTTGCATAATCCTCCCATATTTGCCTTTAAAAATTTCCCCTCAGCTCTGTGGATACATCCTTAGTCCAGTATGGTATCCATTTCTCCATGGCTTTCTGTGAATACCATAGTTTACGATGGCACTGTTCTAGTTTTCCTTCTGTGTGATGACAAACCACTTTAAACAAAAGCAACTTAGAGGAGGAAAGATTGATCTAGCTGACACTCTTAAGCTACCATGCATCACTGAAGGAAGTCAGGGCTGGAACTCAAGAAGGAATTTGAAACAGAAGTCAATAAGAAATACTGCTCACCGGTTTGCTCACAGGCTCCTGCTTAACTAGCTTTCTTATACAATGTAGGACCACATACCTAGGGAATGGTGCCACCCACAGTGGACTGGGCCCACTTACATCAACTAATAAGGCCATCATTGACTTATTAACATAATGTTTTATAAATTAGAGACTTTAGACACTAGCATGTTTATAAATTTATGAAGTAGTCAAGTGAACCAACTTGATTCAAGATGAACATAACAATTATCAAATCCCCTAAAGACATGCCCACAGGCCAATCTGATCTGGGAAACCCCTCAACCAGGACTCCCTTCTTAGGTGACCCTGGGCTTGTGTCAAGCTGACTGTTAAAGCTAACTAGGACAGACGCTTTCCTCTCTATGGCTCTCTGTGAATACTATGGCACCCATCTCTCCATGGTCACTCAGTAACAGCACCGTTATGCTCCCCAGCCCACCTTGCCCGTTGACTCAGTGCCCCGTAGGATGCACAGATAGACAATCAGCCAGGCCAGGGTGAGGCACAGCGCCGGCTCCCACTGCACTCCTCCAGTCTCCTGGATGGATGGTGAGATGTTGAGTGTTTTCCTGTACCAGAAGTACTGTGTGGACGTAGCCTTCTCACACTCCTCATTGTAGCCTGTGCGGTTACTATTCAGTGGGCAGACAGACCACGGCAGGGGATCCTTTGGAATGAAGTGAGAATCAACAGAGAGGTAAGGGGGGGGAGTCAAGGACTTGGTGGGATGATGGGATAGAGCCTCGGCAGAGGGATCACGGAAGAGGAGGCAGTTGTGTCTCCTGGACGGGGACATTCTGTAGATCTTTAGGAGGCAGGGCTAAGTAAGAAGTCATTGGGGTGTTGAGCTAAGGAACCCTGTCTGACACTTTCTCTTCTGGTTTCATTGTGGCTACTTCCTCCTTATGTGTTTAAGCCATGACGTCACGCTAAACTTCAGTTTTACTCAAGACCAAGTTGTAAATGAACAACCTTTTCTCTTTATGAGTTAGTGTCTAGTTTATTTTGTTCTAGTAAAGCTGACTAATAAGGGTTGATACTTGTTGCAATTCTGCAGGTGGTTTTCGGGGACTACTGTACTGTCACGTGGGTCTAGAAGTCTGTTACTAGTATCTTGACAGTGACCAGACCATGTACAACAAGAGAACTCTGACCTAGCATCACTGCAACAGCCAAACCGGGAGCTTAAGCTCCAAGCTCATGCAGCATTGTTGGGATGGTCAGAACGTGTTAATGATCGGGCTGGAGAGATGGCTCAGCAGTTAAGAACATTGGATGCTCTTCTAGATGTCCTAGGTTCAATTCCCAGCACCCACATGGCACTCACAACCATTTGTAACTCCAGTTCCAGGAGATCCAATGCCTTTTCCTGACCTCCACAGGCACTGTTTAAATGTAGTAGACAGATATACATGCAGACTAAACACTCACAGACAATTTCTTTAACTAAAAAAAAGACTTGTAATGACACATGGATTTTCTTCCCTCCCCTTAACTTAAACAAGCCAGAGGAAGCAATAGTCAGTTAGTATACTTTCAACATCCACAAGCCAGCTCATTTTTAGGATACCCTTAAGATCATAGACAGATGTTTCATCCCACGGTCTTTGGGTGTGGAACAAGAGGAAGGTGAGATCCTGTGCCTTGAAGTTATTGAGGCCCTTGAACCAGAGATCCTGGCACTAGTGACTTCTTGTGAGCACTAATCAACAGGACCTGAGCTTAGCAGACTCAGAGCTTGGCAGTAAAACATTCGTCTGCTTTAGGTTTGTTGAACAGGGTTCTTTGGCACCTAAAATCAAATTAACTTAATTGATGTCAGTCAATGATCATAACCGCAAGCCAACTGCTCAGAGGTATTGGAGGGGACTGAGGAAAAGAAAGAAATCTGATCAGAGTTGTGGGTACGGGAGTGAGTCTGCTTTTTACCAGGTTTTGATTCTATGAGGTTGGATTTATAGGACAAAAAGGTGCCAACTAATAGAAGCAAGCCTGAGAAATCTCTTGGCTTCAAGGCCACATTTTACAAGATCCAGTGGCATTATCTAGTGGGCTACTCTACATAACATCAGGGAGCCAGGTCTGCATTCTAGGGAACTCAGTCCACTGATGGCCTCATTCCAAGCAAGAATCCCATGGTCTAGGATGGCCATCTAGTGGATGTGGGGCCAACTCTGACATGGATGTTCTCACAGACAGCTACCAACTTCCCCCATCTCCTTTGTTTTTAGAGAAGTTTCTCTCCTTTTAGTGTGGAACATCAGAATCAGAAGTCCAGTAGATGGCTGGAAGTATGCCTTTCCCCAGGCTCCCTCTAAGTCATAATCCGCAAATCTTTCCATTCCTCCTAGAGGCCTGCGTCCTCTCCCCTTATTTTTCCTGGTGTGGCCAGGCCTCTGCTCACCTGGAAGGAGTGGAAGAGGTACCAGAGAGCCCAACTGTTGATGACATTGTAGTACACAGAGACCAAAAACGAGACCACCAAGCTAGCAATGCCTGAAAGGAATAAAAAGTCCGCGCTGAGAACCAGGTGTGGGTAGCCCAACCTGTAAGCATCTCGAGGACAGTCATGATAGGACCACCCAGGGCAGGAATACTTCCCCTTCAGGCTTTTTATAAACATGACCTCACAGCTGTAACCTGTTCCTAAGGCTTAATCCCTGAACTTCTCATGTTTTTTGACATCCAAGTCCTAGGTCCTGGGCTATGTGCTTGATGTATGTCTTAGTCAGTGTTCTATTGCTATGAAGAGACACCATGACCATAGCAACTCTTATTAAAGGAAGCATTTAACTGGGTCTTGTGTACAGTTTCATTTCAGAGGTGTAGTCCATTATCGTCATGGCAGGAAGCGTGGTGGCACACAGACGAGACCTACACTGGATCTGAAGACACCAGGAAGAGAGAGACACTGGAAGTGTCTTGGGCTTTTGAAACCCCAAAGAACACCCCCCAATAACATACTTTTTCCAACAATGCCAAACTTCCTAATCCTATGAGCCTTGGGGGCCATTTCCTGATAGTGTTCCCATTTAATAAAAGAGAAAAGAAAGACCACCCAGCAGAACCAGGATATAAGCTTCAGGAAAGAGGTGTCATCTATTGCCCACTGTGATAATTATTCCCTTTAGAGGAGGTTGAGTCACTGGGACCAAACTCATTCCTATGTTATCAGGAGAGATGGCGTGTAGCAGAGGCATGAGATGTAAAGAGAACCAGCCTCACTGCCTTAGTCAGACTTGTGAAAAGACTAAGATAGTTTCTGTAGAGAGGGAGGGTTGCTCTGGAGTGGTCTGACACTGGCCCCTAGGAGCACTGTTCCTAGCTCTTGCCATACCACATGTATACATTTTTAACCTTGGCCTAGGTCTTGGTGGGAATACATCAGTATCACCACCACCGAGGGGAAATATGGCCAGTAAGCAAGTGTCGTGCCCCTAGGGACTCAGCTGCCTTCTTTCCTGTGCTACTCCCTTGCTCCTGAGCAACTGTTCCCCTTTCTGGCCTGGGAAGATACTCAGAATAACTGTGGCTATTGTTGGCCCTACCTCCTGGGATATTACAGAGGAGGTGAACCATGTCTTCTTGGAGGTATCAGAGGACAGCAAATAGAGGTCATTCTGAAAAGGTATGGTGGGAAGTAAAGCCACTTAGTTTGAATAAGTGCCCTGGCTTCCTAACTCTGGCAACATTTATGGTACCCCAAAGCCCTTATGTGGTGTGATGAAGATGAAATGGGCTCCACACTGTCATGTCAGTACCAGACACACATTAAACAGGGGCAGTTGTTTACATTCCCAGATGGTAGATGGCTGGGATTGAATAAATGTTTCTGTGTCAAGAGCTATGTCCAACCATCCACAGAATTTCAACTGAGGTCCAGAGAGGAGACACCCTGAGGTGGGAGTTTCCCAAGAGGCTGCATGTGGGGGTCAGAATCCAGGGCCCTCTCTGCCCAAGTGCCATGGCAGCCCTCCCTGAGCTGTCAGTTCACCCAGCCACAGGTCCTGCTCATGAGCAACAACCTGCACACCTGTGATGCCCAGGAACATGAATCTGTTGGGAACTGAAAAACTATCCGACATACCGACACCGCTCAGGTAGGGGCTGATGGTCCTCCAGGCACCAATGCTGCCCTGCCGCATGCGCTGCCCCACGGCCAGCTCCAGGTACAAGAGTGGTACCCCCTCCACAATGAGCATGACAATGTAGGGGACCAGGAAACTCCCTGTGGACAGGAGCATCACGGTCAGTGAGGCCCGATGGGCTTTCCCCTGTGCAACTGCTTCTACCACCTGACTTTCCCCACCCAGTCCTCCCTCTAGCCCATCCTCTCCCCTCAGACCTTCCCACTCAACCTCCACTCTTCTGCCCATGTCTTTCTCCTTCCACATATCCATCCCTCTGCTACCCCTCTCACCGTCTATCTTCCATCCACCCTATCAATCCAACGCTTTATTCATCAGTCACACACCCAGGTCTCTCCATCCATTCATTTTTCTGCACCCGTCCATGGATGTCATGCAGCCATGGTCAGTTGTTCCAATCTTTGAATACTTCCATGCTGGGAGGCAAACTGCTACTGGCCCCAGCTCCTTGGATGCCATTCTCTGTGCTTCTCCTGGCCAGAGCCTTTATCTACCCTCTTTTTAAAAAACTGTGTTGGGGAGATTGGGGAGGTTGGGGAAGTCAGAGGACAACTTTGAAAAGCTAGTTCTCTCCTTCCACCTTTATGTGTTCTGGAGATTGAACTCAGGTAGCCAGGCTTGTGTGACAAGTGCCTTTACCCACTGGGTCATCTCACAAGCACCAATCTTCTGTTGTAGCACTTGGGGGTTGGTGAAAGGCCAGACCACCACATTGCTAAATTCTTTGAACATCCCTCCTGAATGCTTCTGTCTTTCTACAGCTCTGATAGAATCTATGTGAGGAAGAGTGGAAAATCAGCAAACCTCTTTCCTGCCCTGGAGGGTTCACCTAGGTAGGGGGATTTCACATGCTTTATAGTTGCCTGGTCTATAAAATGTTCCTTCAGGCCTATTTTCAGAGAGCTTAGTGGCTTAGCAAATACAGGGATGGGTAAACTAGTTGTATTCCCCAGTACACAGGACATCATCCCACATCTCCCTTGTAAAGAGGACCTCTGTGTATCTGTTTTAAACAAGTACCTTCAGTCTAAAATTTTATTTTAGTAACTTAGAAAACCTTTAAACCCACAAATTCCTAAGGAGTTGGCTGTGAATGGGGCTGTAAACACCCCACTGCCAGACAGATGTATAGGCAGGGATGCGAGGCTACCCACAAAGTCTGCTGCATGGAGAGATGACCCAAGGCTGACCCTCTTTCACATCTCCTCAGCTCATGGCTCCCTGGCTGGGGACCTGAGAAGAGCCAACAGGAGAAGGTCACACAGAAGTAAAAGCCTGACACAACAGCAGCAGGGATCGATGGTGGCTTGTAGAGGTAACTGGCTCCTTAGCATTGTAGAAAACATAAAAGCATCAGCATACACGAACCCTAATAGTCACATGCCCGGAGCCGGCCTAGCCTGGTTTGAAGCAGGACAGGGTATTCATTGAATGTAGAGGTAGCCTTAAAGACGGATGGTTTTTGGCCTTTAAACTCTCTATGCTGAATGCTGAAGCTGCTGGCTTCTGAAAAAAAAAAAAATCCTAATAACTTTCTTGCCTATTCTGAGGCTAAAAACCTTTGGCTTGGGTGATTAACATCTGTAGCCTCACAGCAGGAGATCAAGTAAAGGATTAATTGCTAGGGCTTTTTTCTCTCTTGCCCAGAAGCCTCACCACTTACTTGCTTGTCAGGCAGGAGGGAGGTTTGGAACAATAAACTTTTATTGAACCAGGAGAAGAGAGTCACTCGCAGAAGGGAAAACTTTTACACAAGCAAATATGCATAAACTCATATAAATTCGTATATGAATTTATGCATACATACACCTTCATGCATTCCAGTTGGGCCCAGCTACTCACTAATTTCATAACTACATACTTACATACACACACATCCACACTTACATACGTATATGGAGGAAAAACCCAAGTACCAGTGCAGAGAGAACTCACTCATTCTGGATGAAATATGAGCTCCAATCTCTTATTGCTCAGAGAAAGAGAAAGCTTCTACCCTTTCATTGCTAAATGAATTAAACCTAAATCCATAAGAAGCAAACTTCATCCTCTTTAGTAAGACTAAGCCTGCCTTGCTGTTAAGAAATAACCTGTTCTATCTCCTGGTGAAGAGAAGCCTGCCTGCTCTCTCTGTAGCTTCTTCTTTGTCCCTCTTTCTCTCTGTATTCTGCATAGTGCTCTCTTCTTCTGTTCCTGCCTTAGTGTCCTTTTTATTTTTAAGGGAACGTTAAAGAGGGAAAAATCTATCAGACTATCTGCTCTCTAAATTTCTAAGCTACTCTATTCTGCTGTCCCCCTTCCTCCTCCTAATCTTGCTCTCTCCTCCTGCTCTGATGTGACAATGACAATGCAGCGCAATCACTCCTAGTTTTTTGTACATTTTCTACGGGGAATAGATTACATGATTTTTCCAAGCATCCTTTTTTTTTTTCATATGAAAGTTCACTAAAGGTTTACACATAAATTCAAATCACAAACTGAATAAGAAGTTTACAACAGTGATGTTTCCATGTGTTCTTATTAAGAGTAATTATTTGGCTAAATATTAATTTTCTGTCACTGGCTTCTTAGGTTCATGGAGAGTTAAAGATCATAATTTTTGTGACTAAGTTATCATTGAAACTTTGTATAGATAAACCCAGTTAATATTTTATCTTCTGTCCTTGCACCTACAATAAATTGTTTATTCTTTTTATGACCTTTGGTTGTTTTACAATCTCTTGGAACGTGTTCTACGTTGTAAGTGCCTGCTTTCTATCTCAGAAGCACGTGAATCATGACATGTGAAGCCTGGCAGAGCTCTCACTACAGTTTTCATATCAGAGAGGACTTTAATAGAAGTCCTATTATAAAGGGCTTAATAGTTACTAGCAGAATTTTAGGAATTCTTATTGGATCATCATTAAGAATTAAGAAGTCATCTATTTGTCTATATAGCATCACTACAAGACAGTACATCTTTATTGATCTGCAGAAATCTGCTCAAAAGTGTGGGTTAATAATAACAGGAAAAGCGTATTAATATCAGGAATCTTTCCTAAAATGTATTCCTCTTTGGCCTTGCCTAGAACGGCTCACCTACCATAGTTTTACAATCCATGGTGAAATCATCTCAGGAAAATCATCTGCTAGTTTTTAGCCTCTCCTAGCTGGTTCCTGGTAATCATACAATGTCTCTACGGTACACATGGAGCGCCTGTGTTATAGGGGATTGATGGCCGTCTGTAGCACTACTGCGCTAACTCCCCAGGAGACAGCTGCAAAGGAAGGGAAAATAACTGCTTTAAAGCTTCAGACTGTGTGGAGCCCTGAGCTAGTGGTCTTCTTAGCCCATGTGTTTTACAGACTCCTGTGTCCTCCCCCTTTCTCCCTCTGGTCCTGTCTAGATGCTTGCCCTCATACCTTCCTGCCCTTACTCCCCACAGTGGTTTCTGGGAACAAGAAGTTACCATCTTAGGAAACCAGCTTTCACTTCCTTCATCAGCCTATGTCCCTCCAACTCTCCCTCAGCCCCAATCCCACTCAGAGGGGAAGAGGAGGCTATAGCCAGCTCTAGCTCCTGCTTTCTGAGAGGGCGAGTCTGGGCTGGTACCAGTCGGAGAGAGGGATACTCTTAAAAGGCAGGCTCCTGGGGCCTGTCCAGTGGTCTTCAAGAATGGCCCGAGGTCCCCCACTGGGTCCCTTCAGAACTCAAGTTGCATTTTTCAAGAGACTTTATATTCAAGAAACCTTATATTCCCTTTGTGATGGCTAAGCTTGACGGTCAAAGTGATTACCTATGGGATCAACTAAAACCCAAGGACCTGAGCACAGCTCTGGGGAACTTGTCCTGACTGGATCATTTGAGGTGGGAAGACTCACCTTAAGTCCATACCTGCATACCATATGACAGCTCACACAAAAGGATTGGATGGAGGAAGCTCTTTCACCTGCTCTCCCTCACTCCTGCTGCCAAGTTTATCTAGTCTCATGATGAAGCACTCTTTTGCTTGCATTAGAACCGACTTCTTCAAGATTCTAACACAGACTGAAACACTCAGCCTTGTGAACTGAACAGCTACTGGATTTTTGGCTTTTTACTGGTACATAGCCATTGTTGGACTATCTGGATCACAGCCTGTAAGCTACTATAATTCCATTTACACATACACATGCACATATATATTACATATATACACACACATACACACACACACACACACATACACACACATATACACACACACACGTATTTGTCACCAAGTTCTGTTTCTTTAGAGAACTCTAATAGACCCTTATAGCTAGAAAGTTGAGGTGAGGCTAAGATCTTGGAGAGAGAGTATCTCCTTAGATGCACCACAGACTAACAAGCAAAAACAGACACTTGAACTTTGATTACACATACATTTTTCCTCTTTAAGCCAGTCCTTGTAATGGGCATGTAGTGTAGAACAGTGACTCCATTTCGTTAAGCATAGGCTTGACATCAGCGTATTGACCTTTGACCTTATGACCTTGTATACCTTGTTAGACCTTTGTAACCTGCTTAAGCTTTTTTTTTTC